TTGCAATTACTATGCAGTAGTATACAGTTAGTATAGTATAGTGTGGGGTGATACCTATTACGTCGCCTGTCTCATGTCTCAGAGATTATCTCTCTTCTATTCTTATGAGTCTAGAGCGTGGAGCAATATTCGCCAATCAGACGGACTACATTGCTTTCCGGTGTCCGACTGCATAAAAAAGATTATTCTTCTGCCTTACGGATACAGAGTACAGTCGCTATACATTTTGTGGAGTCGCCAACGCGTACAGTATTTGACCCTTGACTTACATCCTCCCGTCTACATCCGGGAACCGCCACAGACTTTTTTGTCTTGGTGTTGGGTTTGAGGGAAAAAATAGAACCAAATCTGATCTCACTTTCCATTGATTTGATTTGATTACATTTGATGTGCTCCGTCCGTAACCTGTTTCAGCTACACATGTACAGTACAAACCGCGCTGTCCCGCCTATAGGAACCGCCTCTCATCCTCCCGCTAAATTCCAAGGCCTGGGGTGTCGCAATGCCAGGTACAGACCCGAGGCAAAGCTGGGCTTGTTTCCAACTAGGTGGTAGATGGTCCGGGGCCTCAACATCGGTCCAAAGGTTCAGAGGCCTCTCTGAGTTGGGCCACTTACCCAGACTAGGGTATTTTGTCTCTCTTTTTGCCCTGGTGGGGGCGGGTGAAATGTGAGATGTGAGATGGATGAATACTCCGTAACATGTACAAGGAATACATGTGGAATCGCAAGGCGAGGGGCGGATATGCGGCAATTCGAGTTCAAAGAACCTTCATTGTCGATCCATGGATGTGATCGTCATATGTCGGCCGTCATGGACATCTCATACTTCCCGATTTGAATTCCATTGAATTCCGTAAGACTCAGCCGACAAAGAATCGGGAATGATTCAATGACTCTGATTTGTTGACAATTTAATCCTAGTTTGATCCCACCACATCATCATTCACTGAAACCAAAACCAAATCTCGGTCCAAAAATATTCATGTGGCTGAATACGCCTGTTTTCCGTCCAAGTCCCCCGGGCGGAGCGCCATCCTTGACCATAGCCAGGGAACAAAGGCCAGTGGCGGGATCCTTTTGGCGTCACCGCCATCCTTTTCGTGTTCCGTCATCTTTCATTTCACTTTTTCGGCACTCGCGGGTTGGGGCAATTACTCTCTATACGATCGCTTTGGCTTTGTTCGAGCCGGGTTTGGGTATCCGAGGTGCTGAGTGGTGAGCCAATGCTATGTCTGAAACTTGAAACTGGGACTTTGGTGACCGGGGCTGTACTTGGATCAATACAAAACTAATTGTTTTAGATGGCCTCATTGGTTTGTTATTCTTTCGGTCTTGGTCTTGGTTGGATGTGCCCGGGTTACTTACTAACCAGGATAAGCTCTGGTTCTGATTCAGCTTCTGGGTCTAGTTCTGGTGCTTGGTTCTGGTTCCGGTTCTGATACTTTGTTTGTCTAGATCTACATATCCAGACCTAATTCCCGACCAAAGGGATTCATCCACGAAACGCTTTCAACCGTTGTCGCACATCGCACCAAGGACCAGGACCAGATGCCCTTGGATGAAAGTTATCAGTTGCATACCGGCCCCGCTTTCTAGTCAGTGGCTAGAAATGCCTCGGAATGCGAGGGGCCTGATTGACGATTGACGGTTGACGTTGGTCCGGTGCATTCTCATTCTCATTCGCTTCACTTTCAGACGTGCATGTCCATTTACACGTGGAGTCTGAATTTCTCAACTTGCCCGACGGCCAATGAGTATTTTCAATTGGGCGTGGAAAAGAACTTCCGATGTGAAGTTGCTTCCTGCTGACTCGAGACAAATCGAGCGGCTCGGCCTGTCTTCACGGGTACTGGCATGTAAGTCGGGTTTGATATGATCGTGCTCGTTCTCGTGCAGGAGAGCTCTTCAAGGCTCACCCTGGGCCATTGCAATCCAAGCTTGTTGGAGCCTCACATTTCCGACCGATGATCGACATCAAGAATCAACAGTCCACAGTCACTCCTGCTTCTGGTGTACATGCATACTCAAACTGGAACAGAACATGGCCTTGGGTTGAATGGAGGCTCTCCGGCAACCAATCCAAACATCAAACGCCTATGACATTCAAATATGCACGCCTAGTGCATATCACTAACCCTCCAGCCAACGTAGCCAAAACAAGTCAGAATCAATATACAGTCGCAGGGCAGATTGCCAACACACTCACACAGCTATACCCCAGAAAACTGTGCGGATACACAGCTCCAAAAGTCGCGGCAATATTCCGGCATTACGATCCGGCCTCCTGGCTACAGATATACACAATGGAAACACGCATGCTCAGATCCAAATCACTGTATCCTATGAACTGCCCGCATCCTATGCCTATAAAGGACAGTACTGTAGAGCGGATGTTCGTATAAGTCCCCCGTCGCACAAGCAAACGCATCCACCCTAGGCACAGTCATCTCCAACATGAGCGAGCATAAGCACAAGCATAAGCGATGCCAAACTCAAGCACACACAGTAAAACGCAAAACAAGGACTTGGAATGCCGAAACAAGGATCCCCCACCTGCACCGGGATACTGTATGCACAATGTAGAATATAGACTAGACTGCAGCCGAGCCCCAAAGATGTGATATGTGATATCTTGTCCGACACGGAGTCGCCGACAAACTTGTACGTCCAATACAGATCGAGACCCAGATCCAAATCCAACCCAAATCTAGATCGGTAAATACTTTTGAAGAGCGACTGAGTTGGTGGTACAGTCATAGGCCATAAGTCCATTCATATCTCCAACTGTACACGATATACATGATTAACCTATCATTTTTAAAACCACTATAATCGAGTGACTCGAAAATGGGCGAAAAAGAGGTGAAACAGAGAGGTCAAAGTAGGGCGAACGATGCATAAGGCGTATACTCGCTTCGAGGCTAGGTTTCGTGTAGAGACCTGTTCAATACTTCATGGCACCGTATACACACTTATGACCCTTGTTGTATTCAAGACCTGAGACAGCTTGTACTAAATCTTAACTGGATAAGAACACACACGAATACACACTTGTGCCTCGACTTCAATCAAACAAACAGGGTATATCAACAATCAACAATCACCAAACCTAGGACAAGCACAAGGACCAATTTTCCCAGCCCTTCAATCTCCAGCTCCCAGCGTGTCTCTACCTTGCTTACTTGCATACGGTGTAGGCAGACATTAACGCCGTCCCGTTTCCAATTCGGCTGAACTGTAACTCGGAGAGGCGTGTAGCACCTGTCATATCTCCCATATCCCATTACTCGTTACTCATGTTCATAGTCATAAACCCCATATCTGATGTCGAATATTGCAGCCAATGTTACATCGTGCCGTTTGAGGGAGTTTGCTGTTAGCTGCTTTTAATTCGTGGGTTCCGATATATTCGTTGTCTATAAGAGTCTTAGGAATCCCGGTTAGCATATTGTGCTACTGATACTGGGTCATAGTTTTATTACTTGCGCTCTTGTTCTTGATGGGCTGGCTCGCTTCGGAGCTCGTGTATGTATACGGTTGCCCTAGATTGGATTTACTCTGGATTGGGATATATTAGCTTATGGCTGTTCTTGTTCCTTGTCGTTGTTGCTCGAGATGTGTCCCGGTGATTCCTAGGTAAGACGATGATGTCTTAATGGATATCCTGGTTCCATGGTTGAGACACATCTTTAGAGATGATGTGCTCATATGGGTGTCTTGCAATGCGTCCACGTTCTCGTGATCTATTGATGACTCGCGTGTTTGCGCTGATATGAGGATAATACGAACAGATGATATCCCTAGACTAACATCTGATTGGCCGATCGACTGATCGATAGAGACTCCAAGCAAAGTTTTAGTGTGACATCAATTGATCATAGACAGGAAATCTTGTTTGAAAGTATGTTGATGGATGATTACACCCGCAGAGACGAGTCTACAGTTCCCAGCATTTCCGAGCCCAGTCGCGCATAGAGAAAAAACTATAAGCACCGATATTCTCCTTGTCGTTTGCAAGGCTACGATGATCTCCCTGTCCACCGGAACCATACACACTTGCCCGAGTGACATCAACTCACATTACAGGACCCAGCAGAAGACAGCACCACATAGCCGACTAACGGCAGTAGCACCCAATCGACAGTGAAACCGAAGGCGTGTGTCGCCGATTGGGCGTTGCAAAGCTCTACAGAATGACAATCTACCGATTATGGCCGAACATTGCAATAAAGTCAAACCCGGAAGGTTTAGATGGAAGAAATCGGATAGTGACGCAAGTGGATCTTGGATTTCCCCAGATTTTGATTCGCACAATCAGACCTAGCGCCGGTTGTGGACGGGTGTCAGAGACGAAAACCTACTGTCGTTTGGAAGTGCTCAGTATATCTGTCGACCCATCGAAATTGATAGGCGGGTAAACCCGGTAGGGAGAAGGCGGGGGAAGAGATCGTAGGGCTGGGAATATTGTTAGTGATGGGGGGTAATAAGTTTGAGTCATATATCTTCATCCCAGGTCTATAATTCACCAAGTGCAAGTGCAAGTCGCTAGTATTCCCCTATTGGGGATCTTCTCCTCAGCGGTTAATTTCTCCTCACCGGGGCTTTGTCCCCTCAGTTCTCCAATTTTTCTTTTCTTTTTTTTTTTTTTTTTACTTGCCGAGTTTGTCACTAATTAGGCAATTTTGCGGTATAGCTCTGCTTAGGTCCAATCCCCGAATTTATATGTACGTAGTCCAGCTTGTCATCGCACACAATAAAGCTGTGGTTAGTTAGGTTGGCAGAAAAATAGAAATCGAAGTAAACAGTACCTTGCTTAGCTATAGGAAGCACGCCATTGCGTAGGTACCCAGTACACGGGAGCCCCTTTGGTCCGGCCACACCGATTCGCCCAAAACAGCAACGCGATCAGATGCTTATCAAAGATTTTTTCTTGATATAGGGAGCTTCTCTCTCTTCACTTCCATCCCTTCTGGTAACATCATTTTTGGTGCTTCCACAATGGCTGGCAGTACGCGAGCAATTCGCTCTAAGATGGCTTCCATCATGCAGCTGTCCTCGGTGTCGCGCCGGTCGATCTCGACATCCCTTCGCGCACCGCTCCAAGCCACCAAGCCTACCTCTATCTCGCGCATCGCTCGCCGTGGCTACGCTGATGCCGCTCCCACCCCTTCGCCCGCCCCGCAGCCCAAGAAGCGCTTCAGAGTCCTCCGCTGGGCCTGGCGTTTGACCTGGCTATCTGCTATTGGTCTGACCGGTGCTGTCGCATACAGCATCCTTGAACTCCGTCAACCTCCCGAGCAGTTCACGCCTGACCCAGAAAAGAAGACTCTGGTGATCCTCGGTATGTTTCAGTCTAATCGCCGATCGAGCCCGGCTGGATTGTCGCTAACCTGAGCTGTTTTTTGCAGGAACTGGCTGGGGATCCGTTTCCCTCTTGAAGAAAATTGATACCGAGAACTACAACGTTGTCGTCGTTTCCCCCCCGTAACTACTTCCTGTTCACTCCCCTGCTGCCATCATGTACCACCGGTTTGATCGAGCACCGCTCGATCATGGAGCCTATCCGCAACATCCTGCGCCACAAGAAGGCCAGTGTTAAGTTCTACGAAGCCGAAGCCACCAAGATCGATTACGAGAAGCGCGTTGTCTACATCAGTGACGATTCCGAGATCAAGGGTGATATCGCCCACACTGAAGTTCCCTTTGACATGCTCGTGATCGGTGTTGGCGCCGAGAACGCTACTTTTGGTATCCCCGGTGTTCGCGAGAACTCCTGCTTCCTGAAGGAAGTCGGTGACGCTCAGAACATCCGCAGGCGTATTATGGACTGTATCGAGACTGCCTGTTTCAAGGACCAGACCGAGGAAGAGGTCAAGCGCCTGCTGCACATGGTTGTGGTTGGCGGTGGCCCCACTGGTGTCGAGTTCGCCGGTGAGCTCCAGGATTTCTTCAACGACGACCTCAAGAAGTGGATTCCTGAGATCAAGGACAACTTCCACGTCACCCTCGTTGAGGCTCTTCCCAACGTTCTTCCCATGTTCTCCAAGCAACTGATTGACTACACGGAATCCACCTTCAAGGAGGAGGCTATCACTATTCGCGCCAAGACTATGGTCAAGAAGGTTACCGACAAGTACATCCAGGCCGAGGTTACCAAGCCCGATGGATCTAAGGAACTCGAGACTATCCCCTACGGTTTGCTCGTCTGGGCCACCGGTAACGCTGTCCGCAACGTTGTCCGTGACCTCATGAACCAACTCCCCGCCCAAGCCAACTCCCGCCGCGGTCTTGCCGTCAACGAGTACCTCGTTGTGAACGGTACCGAGAACGTCTGGGCCGTCGGTGACTGCGCCATTGCCAACTATGCTCCTACCGCCCAGGTCGCCGGCCAGGAGGGTGCTTTCCTGGGTCGTCTCTTCAACACCATGGCCAAGGCTGAGGCGCTCGAGAAGGAGCTTGAGAAGCTCTCCGAGCGCCAGGCCCTTGCCAAGGGTGAAGATGAGCGCAACCAGATCTTCGACGAAATCCGTGAGCGCCAGAAGCAGCTCCGCAGAAACAAGCAGATCGGTCCCTTCCAGTACTCGCACCAGGGTAGTTTGGCCTACATTGGTAAGGAGCGTGCCGTGGCCGATATCAGCTGGCTGAGCGGCAACATCGCCAGCGGTGGTACCATGACCTACCTTTTCTGGCGCTCCGCCTACCTGAGCATGTGCTTCAGCAGTAAGTTCAATTCCATCCAAGTCAACATCTATAACTATAGACTTACCACTGACATTCTATCTAGCTCGCAACCGTGTCCTGGTCCTCACCGACTGGGTGAAGGCTAAGCTCTTCGGCCGTGATGTCTCCCGGGAGTAAACCACTCCAGTTCCGTCGACCGTCTGTACTATTGCCAAAACACCACATCACATTCCCTTTCTTTCGCTTCCCTCATCAGCGGCACGTTAACACCGTGTCTTGCCACGCTACATCTACTTCTACCACTTCTTTACGCCCCCGCCAAACACTTGTCTCTCTACTTTCTCTTTGCAACTGCAGCCGTGATAGACTTATCCATTTCTCTGTCTTATTTATCATGACCCTGCCATTGGTGCTAATTCGCCATCTTCTTCGTTTGGCTTTCGCTTTCTTTTCTTGGGGACTGTACGCTATAGGAATTTATAGACTGGGTCTGGAATCGTTGTCTTGAACCTGTTACTCTTATGAACTCCTATATCTCTGCCTTGTCCATGTAGTATCTAGTTCTATGCATCGGCGGGCTTCTATAGGGTTTAGGTATTTAAATTTACCTGTATTTAGGCTGATTACTCTATGAAGTACTGAACAGTCTCTACACGAAAGCTTCGAAGCAAGTAGATCGTTTCATGCATTGTTTTCGTCCTACTTTGGCCTAGGATATCGTTGTGTGAGAGCACGTCCGATATCATTAGTATAAGTGCCACAAGAAGTCCGTTAAACGAGTTTGATTTGTGAATGACGGACTGATGCCAAAAGTTCTTCTAATGTAAGAGACGAATGAGGTAGGAAGAGACTGACGAAGGCGCGAGAGCTGTCGTTTCTGAGCCACGTTTCTTAGAGCCCGGTCAGCCATTATGCTACCCAAGGCGTCTTAACTTATAATGTGGTTGGCCAGGGTTGTTGTTCGGGCTAAATCCACGAGCCTGATGTGAAGCTTTGTCGTACTAGGAAGGTCGGGTCAGACAGTATGTTCTATGTTATCCTAGGCGCCGTGATATGTAGACGGCAAATGAATGGCAGGAGTTATTGTTCGGGCTAATTTCAGGAACTCCGCTAGAGCTTTGTCGTACTTGAATGTTATCTTGGGGACTAAGAAAGAAATTCACGGTTGGAAAGTGATAGAAATGACTGATGAAAAACAGGGAGTAATAACGAGATATGAACTCATGGAACCAAAAAGACAACAGTGTCTATGGAACTCGCAATGTTTCTCCCGATGCGTCAACCTTATTTTGAGGTCTGCGGTTGGCGTATATGTGTTGGAAGTCTTGTTGCTATCAAGCTACTATAACAGGGGTCATAAATGTGTATACAGTGCCATGAAGTATTAGACATTTTTTACCACGAATGTCTCGAAGCGAGTATACAATTTCATGCATTTTCCCGCCCTACTTTGGCCTCTTTTTTTTTTTTTTTTTTTTGCCAATTTTCGCGTGCCTCGGATTAATCATATAGATTATATAAAGGTAGGGGTGTAAAGGACTTACGACCCCTGTTGTATATCATTATCAAACTACTAATTAAACGGATGAGACCAATTGGATTTTGATCAAATAATTAATAGGCTCGAAAGAGGCAACCACTGAGTGGCCTAGTATGGGATATGTACATTGACTTCAAATTTTCTAAAGATACACAAGACTACCCCCAACAAGAGCGAGGAAGGAAAAGGGGAGAAAGGGGAGAAAATGGAGAGAGATGAACATGACAAAGGGGGTAATACGAAGACTAGCGAAGAAGGTATCGAAAACTCCAGACAACAGAAAAAGGGTGTATCAGAAAGGGGAGAAATAGAGAAAAAGAAGGCCGGGCCATCATTATCTTAGAACAAGCCCCAACGACTCCGTGTTTCCTTGCTAGGGGGTGCACGCTCTGGAGCCCGACTACGGCCGTCGAGTTGTCGAACACTTTCAATCTTCTGTAGAGCCAGTTCCAGCAGCTCTTTCTTGCGGATGATGTCGAGGTGGCGGCGGATACGAGGATCCTCACGGGCAAAGCGTTCGACCTCGGCGTCGGAAAGGTGTCGTCCAAGTCTTGCGTCAAGCTCGCGGGGGAAATTATAGTAGAACTCCGAGAGCAGTTCAACGTTGAGGAAAAGCACGGCCGTTGAAGTGAGCTTGTCTGCTACCACATCCAGGAAGACTTCTGGGCAGTAGTACTTGTTCTTTTGCGTGGCGCATTGCTTGGAACGAACGGCTAGAAGTCTCATCTTGATCAAGTCGGCACGGTCACGTAGGAAGAGGCCCTCTCGCCCTAAGATATGCATGTTAGTATATCTGAATGAACAAGACGGTGGAAAAACTAACCTCTTTCTAATAGGGCAGCACTGAATCCACCGGCGCCACCCTCACCGTTGCCCTCTAGTACAACATCGCCCTTTCGCACGCGGTCGATGAAAGAGACTACGTCTTTCAACTTCCGTTTTCCGACAACGTCTTCCACATGCTTCATGGCTGTCTCGCAGTGCTTGAGCTCGTCCTTAAGAACCCTGCCCACGTTGTCTCTGCCCTTGGCCCACTCGGAGTCTTCAACTTCGATCTCAAACTTGTATGGCTTTATGCAGTTTTCCACTTGGTCACTGGTGCTAAAAAATCTGTCGTTTAAGATAGAATTGCACGCGTCTGTGATTTGCTTGTGGGCACCGGGGTGGGAGGCGAATGTAGAGGAGGCTAGGAGTTGGTCGACATGGTTGTGGAGAGCATTGGCAACGACAGTGGTAGCCAATCGACCAATTCCAAGCTTTGTTAATGAAGAGGTAGAGGCATCTAGCTTCCGGTGCCAGTAGAGAGACTCGGGGTCAGACTTGGGAAGGTCCTTGAGCGAATCCAGTTCCAGCATAGGAGGTTCTAAGTCTTCAACTGGCTTGTTCCAGTAGCGCTGCGCCAGAATATCCATGACCCGCTGGTCCAATTCGGCCTTCAGCATCTCCCGGACCTGGGGTCGGCCAAAGCTTTCCGCAAATGCCTTGAAGGAATGCTTGAAACTGTCAAGGCTCTCGGCCAAGTGAGACTCTGCGCTCAAAGGTCGATCATTATATTGAACCTTGAACTCGTAGGTTGCCTCCTCAAGTTCCTGGCTGATGGCATCCCTTGTTCCAGACAGGCTGGATGCCATGGTTTGCTCGAGAACGTGCATCAGAGTCTTACGTAGCGTCGAGACACCAACTGAGACATCGGAGTGGGGACCAAATTCGCCAGGATGAGAAGAAAAGTAAGCATGTTCGTTCTTGAGAATGGCGCTGGTGATGTTCCCACTGCCTCTGGAGAACAGAGCATTCGTCTGAGGGATGCGGCTGACAACGCCCACGTAACCAAGTCGGAGGGGGTACTTCTTATCAGAGAGAACGTCGTGACCACGTTCGGGGCTCACAAGGTCCATCTTCGTAATCACACCGATAGTCCGTTCACCTCGAGGGTCGACTCGGCGGCTGGCTCGGAGTGCTGTGGAGTTTGCCAAGTCGACATCGGCGGCCGAAATCGCCAGAATGACATTGGGGGGTTGGATGTATTTATCGCAAAGGTCATTGATCTTTTGCTTAAGCTCCGGGGGCTGGTCATGGCCAGCAACCTGGATATAACCTGGTAGATCGATCATGGAGAGATCAGGAACATTGGGAGAATAAATTGTGAGTTGAATAGGATCATCTGTGACACAATCCTTTTCGGGGACAGAAAGGTTGAGATCTGTGAGGGTGCGCTGAATTTGGGTGAAGTCTGTGATCTTGCCGAGACCTAGAGCTGGGAATTCACCATATTCCGACTGGGCGTTAGGGGTATTGACCAAGGTCAGTTCAATGGGCCGGCGAGTCACCATGTTCGAGCCCTTGGGCAAGAATTCATGACCGACGATGGCTTCGAGGACCGAGCTCTTGCCCGAAGATTGGGATCCGATGACGACGATTGACGGCAATGTAAGTGTGTCGGATTGGCCGATTGTCTGAAGGATGTTTCGAATCTCGATCATCTTGCGCGTGAGAAGCATCATCTGATCGTCCTCCGCAGCGTCCCTCGCCGGGCGTACGTCTTCCTCTCCTGGTTGATCGTAGCCGAATGCCGAAGTAGTGGCGGCTGCGGCAGCAGCAGTTCCGGCCCGACTTTGTTTCGGTTCCTTGTCCCCACCACCTGACTCGCCCTTTTGAGACTCCTCATCGAGACGGAGGATCTTCTGCAGCCACTCGGGGATATCGAGGTCTTCGGTCGTTTTGCTCCACCCGCGTTGTGTCTGATCCGCCACATCCTGCAGTCCCTGGAACAAGGTCGATGCTGTGTTCCCCGCAGTCTCCGAGGCTTGTTTGAAAACATCCATCGCATAGTTCCCGGCTTCTAAATAACGTATTAGTCCATGATCCCACCGCAGATACCCTAGTTATTGAGAAACGTACGGGTTGCTTGGTATTGGAAGTAAGCCAGACCCGCGATTGTTGCGCCTCCAAACATCGCCGGAACCCTGACAAGCTTTAATGCCAGCTTGGGAAGCATTCGGGCAAACGAAATTGATCGAACAGCCGGTACATTATGAATGGCATTTGCGCCTACTGGCCATGCGCGTCCTCTGAGAGCAGCTCCACCATCTGCGCGTAGCAGACCTCCAGTCCTCGAGCCTGTATTATGAATATGGCGAGCAAGATGCCCGTTCCGCAAGAGCGGGCCAAGTCGATGGGAGAGGATCCTCCCACTCATTGCGATGACATTCAAAGATGGAAACAAAAGTGAAGTCTACGGACTACGGACCACTGACATCAAGGATAACAATCCCCGTGACTTGCGTCAGTGGCCGCTTCGTCTCCCGTAGAAATTTGAGTCACGTGGGGCATGACGTGCTGGGCAAGGGAAGTGATTGTATCCTTTTTCGTTGATTTGATAAATTCATTGTTCTTTGTTCTTCATATCTCGAGTTTACGCGCAGTCTCCAACTCTTATTCTGTGGGATTGTGATTGGGACGCGTAGGCATCTCACCAGTTCCCAACAGTCGGTGACTCTTCATCTCCCACCCCACGAAATCGACTATTAATTGCATTGGACTCACCACAAGCACCCTGCTATTTGGATCATAATAGTGGTGCAATTTTGAAAGACTAGGCGCATAGAGACGTGGGACTCGACTAAGTATCATTCGATCTGCATTTGATCGACTGATACCATGTGCCGGTTCCTGGTAAGAGCATCTCGCCGAGTGCATGTCCAAAGCTAATGCCTCAAATAGATATACAAAGGACGGAATGAGATCCGGCTCAGCAAGCTGATCACGGAGCCAAGTCATTCGATCCTAACTCAATCTTATGATTCACGTCTGAGACTGGTAGGCTTCCCCGTCAGCTGGATATCACAGTCGGTCCATTGGAGTGATCAATAGCGCAACCAACTAACACAGAACTTCAGGATAACCGTCGACCTGTCAATGGTGATGGATTTGGTGTGGGCTTCTACACGGATCCCAAGCTTGGACCTGAACCTTGCATCTTTACCTCGACACTTCCCGCATGGAACTGCGAGAATCTAGAACGGCTCGCCTCAAAGACGTGTTCGGACCTCATTTTTGCGCATGTGCGAGCAACTACTGAAGGTGCTCTTGCCGAAAACAACTGCCACCCATTCCAACACCAATCCCTGATGTGGATGCACAATGGTGGCATTGGTGGATGGAACTACATCAAGCGCGCACTCGGAAGTTCACTAGCCGACAAGTGGTACTTAGGTGTGAAGGGTGGCACTGATAGCGAATGGGCATTTGCTCTGTTCCTTGACCTGCTAGAGAAAGAAGGAGTAGACCCGAGCTCTGACCCCGGCCCAGAGGGATTTGGACAGGCACGACTTCGTCGCGTTATGATGAAAACCATTGCTCGTATCAACGAAATGGTTCGGGAGATTCCTGAGAAGTATAACGTCACTGGAGTCGAGACTCGGAGTCTCTTGAACTTCGCTGTGACTGATGGCCATACCGTTATCTGCACTCGGTATATCAGCAGTAAGACAGATGAGCCTGCAAGTTTGTATTTCTCTTCTGGCACAAAGTGGAAAGAAGGAGAGACAAAAGGCCACTTCAAGATGGAACGGCACGACAAGGGTGCCGATATTGTCTTGGTAGCCAGCGAGCCTATCACTTTCGAACGACGTGAGTACTCCATTGTCTTCAGGTGAATATTGGTCATACTAATCTCGAACCAGACAATTGGGTGTCTGTTCCTACCAACTCTGTTGTAACTATTCACAAACAGACTGTGATGTTACACCCGATCCTTGATGAGTTCTATGACGAGGATCTCAACCACGACCGTTCCTCCTGCTTTGCCGTATCCAAGGGCCTTGTCAGCACTGCTCCTGGCACTACAGTCCCACCACAAAAGTCGACCGAGCCCCGTGGCCCTTCAGCATCAGCCAACGCCATTGGAGGCAATGGTGCTGGCTTGGACGACATTCGGCCCTCCCATGCCACGGAATGTACTGTTTCGCACTAAGTGTGACGTAAAGGCTATGTCCTTGTCGTTAAATCCGAGACACAGTCTCAAAATTGCAAGCATGGTCTTAACACGGCGTCGGGATCCAAACATGTTTACAGATCTCTGGTTCAGGTTGGAGTTTATCAGTTGGAATGGAGCGTTCTTGTCCATGTGATCTTTCGGGAATTATATTTGCATCGTCTAAGCCCACAATGTTTCTTTCAATTAAAGTATAGTTTTTGAAACTAATTGGGATCCTTTCCCGTTAGCCAAATATAAATTGTATCATTGAGTTGGTCGAGGTTTGAACGCTGAATCTTAGTACACACGATTGAACCATCCAACGCTTTCTATTCTTCATCCCATAGGAAATCAACAACAGCTAAGGTGCAAAAATTAGCATGCAATCTCGAACCCACTGGACCAATGATTTACCTTTCCTAAATTCTTCAGGACGATCTTGAACAATCCAATGCCCGCAATCGATATCGACAATCTTCGACTGGGGGAAAAGGGACGAGATGAGCGGGAAAGCAGTGTCAGGTATATAGTGACTCTGAAGGCCACGGAGAAACAGTATAGGAGAGTTGAACTTCAAAAACGCGTCCTTGTCCGGGAAATCACCCAGTGGCCCCATCGCCTTCTCTAGGATATCTAGAGGAATGCGTAAATGCAAGTGAGGCTGATCCTTGCTTTTGATAAAATTGCTTAGGAGCCATAGTCGTACCGATGGCGACTGGTTTTAGCTGTTAGCTATCTTTATGGCAATTGGCAAGTATGCCATGCAACTTACCGTTTCGTATTCACGGAGAATCGCATCTGCTTCTAGATGAGACTTTACTTTGGCGGCCTCGGCTTTCGCCATTCCTTGAAGATACTTCGGAAAGTATGACTTCAACGGCAAATGTATTGGGCCATTGTCGATAGCAACGACTTTCGATACGAGGTTTGGATAACGGAGAGCAAGCGTCATGGCTGTTTTTGCACCCCTGAGATCAAAATTAGCCATGGATCATGGTATTTAGAGCCGAGGTAGAATCTAATCACATTGAGTGGCCAATCACCGCCGGACGTTCAAGTCCATGGTTTTGGATAAATGACTCAACGTCCAGCGCCATGTCGACATAGTTATGGCTGGGGTGATGGCCTGAATCTCCATGGTTTCGTAGATCCTATTCTGGAGTTAGATTTGCCAATGTGATGTGAATGAAACAGTACTAATGTGTAAACATCTCGAGAGAGCTCACTGGCCAATTTTCTGGAGAAAGGGGTTGTTAGTGCAGAAACACCAGCAATATTGTCCTAGAAATTACCTGCTCACGGGTCTGTTTTCTCTTTTTGATCCAAGAAACCCATGGAGAAATAGGATAGGGGCTCCCTTTCTCCCTTTTGGTACCTCTGCGCCTTTGGGGGAGCTATGCAATTCATAGGCCAGTGGGACTCTTGCTGCCGCAGACCCAGCTAACCCTCGCTTGAACACGATTTGTTTGACGTTGATCTTGAACATGAGACCTAGTGTTAAGTAAAATGGTTATATGAAGGGCTGTGGCAGATTTAAGTGAATCAACACCTTTGTGATAGTTTTCTAAACGTTTTGAGGCTAACATGCCGAACAACCCGGCATCTATATATTTCGCCGAAAGTGGGTCACCACAACAAACTTCAGCCTATATATAATCTACAAGATGTGCTCAAGGCATTCGGAGACGGGCAGAAAAGAGGCAAAAAAGACAGGCTAAAGCAGAGCGAAAATAATATTTGAACATTATACTCGTTTCGGGACTTTCATGTACTGTCCAATACTTCATCAGTGGCACTGTATACACATCTATGACCCCTGTTGTATACCATCCATAGGCCACCGCAGATTATCGAATAATGGCATCGAATTTTGTATTTTGTACTAGCTGATAGGTACCTATCTGATAGATTGTTTGACGCTACAGGTTGGCTCTCTCAGTTGTATGAGAGAGCAAGAAGTGGTTGGTGATATATCGGACAATCAAAGGAGTCAGTGATTTAAGAGACCAGCAAGCTCATGGATTCCTTTCATTTAAGCAACAGCAATGGCATTCGACCGCTGTTCGACTGATCTCATAGTTCATAGTACAGGTAGTCCGAGGTCACGTGAAATCATGACGTAAGGTGACTATCGAATCAACAATCACATCTCACTTTCTTGTCCGTCTTCACTTTCCAAATTGTCCCATGGAGATACGCGGCTTGCACATTTCACAATGAGGAAGACATTGCTTCTCGTGTTTATCCACGGCTTCAAGGTATGATCTTCTGCATGTCCGTTGTTGACATGATTCCCCGCAAAGGATTCCGCTCTCCGCACCAGCACATGCATTAGACTCTGTCGCAACAACTGACTGATCACTTGACTCTAGGGTGGTGATGATACATTTGGCAACTTTCCGGAACATTTGCGCGTCCTCGCAAGCAAGGCGTTGCCTGCTGTCGATGTTGTTACAGCGGTCTACCCCAAGTATGAGACTAAAGGCGACTTGAAAGAGTGCGTGGGGAGGTTGCGTGACTGGTAAGATTCCATTTTACTTTCAACATAAAGCCTTGCTGACTGATTGCTTTTCAAGGCTGCAAGATACTGTGATTGATCTCGAAGTCGCCAACCACACCGCATCGCCCACTGTTGATCCCTCCGTTCATGTTTTTCTGATCGGTCATTCAATGGGAGGAATAGTAGGAGCCGAGGCTTTGCTTTTATTAGCAGCCGAGCAACCAATCCCCCACGATCCGACTTCAAACACAGAACCTGGGTCAAGTGAGACCGACCCTGTCGTAGAACCGGGTACATTCATGTTCCCTCATGTCCAAGGAGTCCTTGCTTTCGATACTCCATTCTTAGGTATAGCTCCAGGAGTCGTGTCTTATGGCGCAGAAGAACATTATCGCAATGCTGCCACCGCCTACAACACCTTTTCAGAGGTTGCAGGATTGTTCGGATACGGCGGAAAAAGCAATGCCTCGGACAAGTCGCCTAACCCTGCGCCTCCAAAAGAATCGCCCCAAGCGTTGCCTTCAGCTGATGCTGCTGCAACACCTCCCTGGCAGAAATGGGGCCGGTATGCCATGTTTGCCGGCGCGGCTGGTGCTGTTGCTGCAGGTGGTGCAGCTGCCATGTATACCCAGCGACAAAAGCTTACCGACGGATTTACCTGGGTATCATCGCATCTTGAGTTTATCGGCTGTCTTGCGCGTATTCAGGAGCTACGCCAGCGTCTGGTGCGTCTTTCGTGTGTGAAGGAGGAACGTGGAATTGGCTGTGTGAACTTTTACACATGCCTTGGAAAGGGTGCATCTTCTCTTGTGGAGAACACATCAGCAAGCCAAACATCTTTCAGTCAGAAAATTATTCGATCCAAGAACAGGACGTTCTGTTCATTGCCAAAGGAGGTGGAAAATGGAGAGGAGTCTCAAAGCCCAGGGCTTCTCTGGAACAAGGCTGTCAACGATCAAGCCACCGACGAGGTGAATGCGCACATCAACATGTTTTTATCCAAGCAGAACCCTGCGTTCCTTGAGATGCTCAATGAAGCATGCGCGGCCCTGGTGAAGTCAATCGACAAAGGCTGGTACAATTCGTCCACCCAGCCATCCAAGACCGATCAATTCAACCAACCAGACACGAAAGCCAAACCAGATGAGGACTTCATGGATGCTGACGATGTGGTGGTCGTTGACTGAGATCGTAAGCACCGATTTGCTGGACTGACAGTTCACCTTTTGTTTTATTGCAATGGAAGGCTCCACATGGAATCTAAGTGATCTCTCTCCTGATCGGCGGGTCATCTGCTTAGAGTTCGTTCCGCGTGCACCGCATTCCAACACATAACGAATAGCATGCGGAGGAAAACGGTTACTGCGGTAGCAACTTATTCTCCGCAGACAAGCCAAGCCAAGTAACCGCTTTGATTATTCCGCAGCTGTCCAGACCACAGCATAGCTGCCGTGTTCGCGGTCTTCTACCATTCTTAGCAGTCATGCCCGAGATCGTCTCTGGACTCTTTCTTCGGTTGGTGAAGATCCTGCCACTTGTTTCATTTTCTCGATGACCGTCTTTTCCACCGATTTAATCTGGATCTGGTGTGACGTGGCCCACGATGACTCGGGATTTGCTCGGCCAGACTAGCCGTATACAGTCAGTGAAAGGCCAGGGACTTGATACGTGATAACATTTTCAGGTTCAGTCGCGCCTCTTGCGCCGCTTTGCATAGCTTGCAGGCCTTCCGTGCCTACACCATTCCTGATCCAGGGTGCAATTACGGTGATTGCTAGGGCAGATGGATTGCTCGTCAACTTCTTCCTGACTGGATTTAGCGCTTGGATGACACGGGGATAGGCGAAGTCTGAGACACGGAGAAGACTATCATCTTTCGGAAGACTTCCACCAAATTGCATGATGCAAGACATCGCAAATTACGATACCAACTGGTACAGGAAAAAAGCGAGATAGAAACCAAGTTATTGTGTCTTGTATTCGCTTGCAAGTGGTATTCTAGACCCGCAATAGCCCGTACATTCCTTTCAGTCCCCATAACGCTATCGGTCGACCGAAAAACCGGATTGAGATCGCCATGAACCGTGCTCCATCGCCATTGAATACCTTGGAAATCCTGCCCAGATAAATTTTATGTGATTATATAATATGTCGCTATGGCCGAAATAACGCTTGAATGTAGCTAGAAATATTCACTGAAAAGGAAATAATAAGATATCATGAAGTCAAGGGTCACATGTACAGTGCAAAATGAAAAGCCAAATGCAAAAGTCAGTAGTTGTGATGGCCGTAATTGGAAGTGCGGTGGTGGTACATGCTGCCTGCATACTCGGAGTTGTTGTCTGGATAGACAGTGTTTCGACGGTCTTCCTCAGTCAGCAACTCCTTAACTTCCCAGGTGTTCGGTTTGACGCCAACGGAGAATTCCAGATCCTCCTTGGTAATGGAATCCCAGAACTGGAAATTTTTTGGTCAGTGAAATGTGTACCACAAAATCATGAAGCTGGCTTACCTTGTAGATCATCATAACAGCCAGGAGGTTGCAGAAAGTAGCGAAGAACAGGCCATCCAGGTAATGCTGGACATTGTTGCAAATGACATCGCTGAATTGGTACAGGAGAACCTGACCAATAATGAAGACCAGGACACCGAAGGAGATATGCCCAAGTGGCCAGCGGTCATCCAAAGTGTTAGCAACGAGAAGCAGTTGCATAGCCAAGTAAACCGCGATGGAAATAGCGTTTAGCAAGTAGAGCACGACGAACAAGCCGGTTGTATTCTTAGGTCCCATAGAACCCCAGGACTTGAATGTCGCCAGCGAGATCACGAATGACACGGCGAACATGGCTGCGGAGGGGACTCGGATAAGCCATACCGAGAGAGCTGTGCCGTCTTCGTAGAGTTGGAAGCCCACGAATCCGTTGACGAGTAAACATGTGCATAGCGCTGATATCAAGCCATTCTGGACGGCCACGAAATATGGGAAGGGGCCGCTACCCGGAGGAACGACACCTGCATCAATGAGAAGTGAGAATAGAGTGAGGGCAAGGTAGATGTAGAAAAAGGTAATGATCTCCTTGCGACCTATCAACATCAAAATGGTTAGCCATGTAAACATGCAGGTGTAGACAGTGGGGTGAGTAGGACTGACCGACAGCTGTGAACTTGGATCTGACATGCAGAATCATGATCACGGTCATGGCAAGGGCGATGATATGCATGAAAGATGCAGCACCCTCGAAAATGATAGTATTGGCGACCTCAATATTCCGCGCATAGCAATTCGATATGATGCCAGTGGACCCGGAGATTGATGACGCCGGGCCGACCAGGGAACACAAAGGGACCGGCGCCTTCTCGCATATCGTATCGAACGAACCGAAACCCATTATGTCTGATGGGATGCCGAGCAGTGCGACAGTAAACAAGTGGATTGCTGTTGCAGGTGGTCACAAAGATTGTCGAGCCCGGACGGCTGGTCTCCACAACGACGGAGGCGGGACGGTGGAGGAGAGAAGTGTCGGGATTTACGGTTCCCCCGACAGCAGCGTGGCTCTTCTGCACCCCAGCAAAGCTGTTTCACTCAAATTATCCCTGGGTGCGAGCGTCGAAGGTCGAATGGCCCCTGTTGTCAGGGGAAGCGAGGGGGAAGTGTCTCAGTTTTCGCCATGAATAGATCACGGGGTCTGAAAAGGGTGGACTATTTTTCCGCTGCCTAGTTGGGCTTAGCGTGCTTGCTGGGCTCTTTCCCCAGAACCAAATCATGCTGAGTCAGCTCGGACACGAACCCGAAGTCGGCAACGCTAGACCGAATGTGAACTAGCTTATGAATGCCACGTGACTAGGATCCAAACTTGCCGAACTAGTCATAAGTTAGGTCCTAAGTTCTCTATACAATCTACATTGTTTAACCCGAGGCACTCAAAAATGGGTAAAAAAAAGCTGGGAAAAGTGAGGCCATAGTGGGCGAAAACAATGCATGAAACGGTATACTCGCTTCGGGGCTTCCGTGTAGAGACAGTCCAATATTTCATGGCTCTGTATACATATGACCCCTGTATCAAAATGCGCATGGCAAAATAGTCAAGGGTCAAGAGTTCATTTGGGTGCCTCGGCCAAACTACTTTAAGAGTCTGACAACGTTACCGATGTACCGTAACCCACGGCAAGCCACCGAACCCGCGAATCCCAAGCTATTTCAGACTACAGTATTTAGTTCTCTGTCCCCACATCCCGATAGACTTGCGATTCGATAAGACTAGCACGACGCTACCCCGTTCAGTGGTGCCTACGCCATTATTATTGGACTGTGGCCTAACGGTCACTGGAGAGGTTAAGTATGACCAGGTTTAGCTTGCTTTGGGCTGAACGCAAAAAATCTCTTCTTTCCCCTTACTTTTCATTGGGTTACTGAACCCCCGACTACCGACGCTAAGTACCATTGCAATTGGACATGGGTACGGAGGACGGACTGTCGAATTAATCGAATTAGACTTGCCCTGCATGTGGGTTGACCTTTTGTCCCCACATAACCTGCGACTGTGGCACTTGTCGCACCATCGCCCGGTTTTCTCTCGAGTGTTCCAGAGACTGGCACATAATTTAGTTCACGTAGATCTCCCCTCGCTTATTTACTCAGCTGCCAACTGCCCTAGATGGGCTCACTTCTTCTACCACTACGCACGATTTGATATTAATGTTGGAACAGTTCCCGGCAAAAGGCCCATTTTCTCACGGACGGTGGATCGCACTAACGTGAGCAATTGCACGACTTGTATGGAAACTACTTGCTGGTGGGTGTATTGTAAAACGATACATGGCCTAATGCCGATGATCGACCTCCGAACGATTCGGAAGTGAAATGAGAGTCCACTTCGTCATGTTTCAGTTGAAACGTATGTCTCCCGTGGGGCATAGCTATTCAGATTTCCGATCCTGGAGTATGCCGAACGGCTCTTAGGCTGTCCTCATTAGCTTTGATTCGCGGCTAAGTCTTGCGAGATTATTCATCGGTCTCCGTATACTCGGTACATATCACTGAGTTTGTGTTACTCTGCATGTACTGTACTACTTTGAGTGACCCTAGATAGTCAATCTCTTTCCTAGAACAGTTTATGATCCCTTAGCCAAGGCAGCTTCTATGTGCCTTTTACGAGTGTCATAGCATGATCTTCATGATGCCTAGGATTGTCTATTCCTCCTATTTCGATCGGCCAACTACCCATACAAGGCTAGGTATACAACTAAAATTGATCTCGGCCCCGGTCGGTTAGAGCTATCCCCGCCGAATGGGAAGTGGCAAGTTATGTGTTGAGGGTTACTCCGTACAGAGGCTGAGACCTCAAAGTAATTCATTAATTACCCTTTTTGCCCCCAAAGTCCCCGAAGTAAAATAAAATGCCTCAACTGATTGGAGCTTGTAGCCCGCTTGAATGCCCAACGCGACTTTTTTCCGGGTCAAACAGACCCAGCCTAGCATGTACAAGGTTACTATCATCGAACTATCTCGGAAGAATAATACGATCGATTCTCCGTGGTTGCCTGATCCAACAGCAGGACTTGAGACACGAGATTGGAGGAAGCGTACTTTAATCTCATCAAGCTCTCACAGGATGAGACATTTGAGACCGTAATTGCTGTCTCATGCATGAGATCCCGACTAGCGCCACATGTGAGTTGAAGAAGCAACAACGGCTGCGAGGAACCGTGTCGATCCCTCCCCGGATGTATCATGATGCATCATAGGGAGGTCCCTGATGACTCAAAGATACATCCCCTAACGGTCATACAGATTAAAGCCACGCTTTATGAAAGACCCGCTTGACAAGGATAGGGGGTGATGGTGGGGAGCCGTGCAGTACTGTATACTGAATTTTTACCTCTGAATTAAAGTAAATTTCTTCGAGTTCTCGATTTTACTTTTTCATTTTTCATTTTCGATTTGATTCTTTTCCATGTTTTCCATTTTTTGTTTTATCTGTTCCCACCATGTCGCCCTCTGGGCATCGAACCCACTCTCCAGAACTACTCTTTATATTCTCGAGTCTCTGCGACTCGAAACTTCTTTTTTTTTTTTTTTTTTAGTTTAGTTTCTTCTCTTTGCTGTATACAAATGGAGAACATCCACGTTCATACTCCCGCAGTCCAATCTGTCACACTTCAATTGCATTGAACGCCTACCCCCTTCCTATTGCAACTGGCCCTCCTGACCCAGTCCCTCCGATGGGATCGCAATGTGCAACTATTTCCATATCTACCACGTATATTCCTCCTGCAACCATCCCTCTTTACACTTCGTCCGTATGGAAACGGAGGGAAACAAAGATGTTTGCTGCAAAGACGGGCCCCATGAACGACTTGTCATGATAATTGGCAAATGCGACATTTGCAGCCGTGGAAGATGAAACCTACAGTATTCGAGAAGTGAAAGTTGAGGGCTTCCCTAAAGTTTCCAACCCGTTTCTTGCCCGTGGTTCCTTGGCGGGGACAACCCTCTCGCAAGGAACTATTCGGGTACAGCCGACCCTCCACATCGCGGCTCTCCAACATTCCAAATCATCGATGTGATCATGATCGTCCTGAAATTTTTTGTTGATTTCGACCCTAAAGTTTGCATTTTGCGGGGCATTTATTTGGTGTTCAAAGCGGGTTGATTGTATTTTTGTTCCATCGTCTCGTTTAGCGTCAATCTGTTTGAATTTTTGGCGCCAAAGGGTAAATGGGTATGGCGTCCACTAAAAGGGAACATTTCTGATTTCTGGGCCCTAGGCTCCCAGGGGAGTCTTCGAAAGCTTTTGGTGTATTTGTTCCAAGATTCCCTGTGTTAATATAACTTCCACTTGATTTTTAATGTCCAAAAGATAGAAATAGGAGAAATAGTACAAACTGAATTGCTAAATCG